TCCTGTGAGCAGAGCTGGATCTGACCCCTCAATCCCTGTGGTTCCAACCTCCTGGGGCCACATGTGGTGACTCTACTCTGCAGGATTTCACCAGTGGTGTTCATGATTGCTTGGCCATTCTGCTGCAGCAGGCATGGACAGAAACCCCCTCCCAGCCATGGATCACCCAAACCAACAGGAGAAATCCCTGTGGGGTGACACCAGGCATGGACAGAAACCCTCTCCCACCCAAGCCCCAGGAGAGATCCCTGCAGGGCCACATCTGGAATCACTCCTGGGCACAGCCCTGGTGGTCTGTGCGGGACTGGTGGGGCCTGGTGACCTGTGGTGCTGGGAGAGCTCATCCATCACTTCCAGGTTTGTGCCCAGCTGCTCCAAAACCCCAAACCAGCTGGCAGTGGCTTGAAGGGACAGTGTAGGGGCACCCTCGTGCTGAGGACACCTGAAGGGACACTGCAGGGACATCCACCTGCTGTCTCCATGGATTTCTCTCTACCTCCACTGGCTCTGGCTGCTTCACCTCTGTTGTCCCCGTGGCTGTTCCCTTGACCATTGTGTACCCCAGAAACACCACCCCTGAAGGTATCTCTAGGGATTGTCTGGGAGCAAAGCCCCCCCAAGATGGGCACGGGCAGGGGGTCCCTCTCAGGGACCCTGCATGTCAGGATTTCTCCTGCAAAAGAGAAATAGTGGCTCAGGCTGAGCTAGCAATTTTCTGGGAAAAGAAAACTAGTTTGGGAAAAGGATAATTTTAAGAGGACTGAGACTGTTCATAAATTCAAATCAAATTTAGAGATTACTTTCAGTCTCTGGATTCTTCCATCCTCCCCTTTTCCTTCCCCCTCCCCCGAATTATTGTTTGCAAAAATTAAAACAAAATGTTTTGGGGTTTTCGTTTGTTTAAAAAGCAATTTGCATTTTAAAAATTGCCAAAATATAAGCTTTGGGAGGGTGGGGTCTTTTGAAAGGGCAGCATTGTCATTGCTGAATGAAAGCCACGGAGAGGAATTCGTCCTGGGAGACGCAGGGCGCTGGGGATGTGGTGGCAGCACAAAGACCACAACCACAGCTCCCAGAGCACAGCCCCAGCCTGTGCCTCCATTCATGGTCCTCCTTTCCTGCTCCCACATGGAAAATCCTGCCCACCTTGACCTCCTGGAGGGATTCATTTGACCAAAATGAATTTGGATTTAACACAGAGAAGATCCCGCGGTGTTTTCTCTGCCTGACTACAAAGCGCAGCTTTCCTCTTTCCCTCCTCATCCTTCCCAGGTATTGGAACATCTGTTTAAATGAAGTCTGCTTATTCAGAGCCGGGCCTGGCAGCTCAGGTAGAGATGCTCTGATGGAGCTCTGCACATCTGTGCACAGTAAAGTCAGGGAACAAAAGGCTTGTGAGGTCCTTGGCAGAGTAAGGGAAGGGAGAGCGGGAGACAGCAGGACTGGGCTCAGTGGAGCAACTGGAGCCAAAACCTTTCCTCACAAAGCCCTCAGCACCTGGCCAGGGTTTGCTCATAGATGGGCCTGCAGGGGTGCAGGGGTGTTGTCTCCACCAGGTGCAAAGCAAAGCTTGAGGAACGGAAACGATTCCAGTCCTGGGAGGTGATTTCTATTACAGCCCTCAAAGGCGTTCATAGAAAGAAAAAATGGGTTGCTAAAGAGCCACTTGAATTCAGGGAAATTCAAACCGAGAAGCAGTGGCAGAAAATTAAAGCCAGGCCAAGTCGTGTTAGGAACAAGGCAAAAGGCTCCAGCACAGCGGGGGACTAACCTCGGGCCGGGCAGAGGGAGGGCGGGAGCTGCTTCCTGAGCGCCTCTGTCCAGGGAAAACGTGCGGGGAGCCACACGCCCCAGGGCATGCACGGAGCTGGAGCGGCATCCAAAACCTCCCCGACCTGCTGCTGGGGCCAGCTGTGTGCCCAGGCAGTGCCCACGCTCTGCACCTCCAGGGAGATCCCACAGAGCATGTCCCAGCCCTGTCCCCACCAGGGCTTTGTGACGCCTGCCTGGGACATTTCTGGCATTGCCCCAGTTCCTGTGTCCCTGTGTGCCACTGTCAGGAGAAATGGGATGGGGATTTTCCCTCAGCCCCTCCATCCCTGTGTGCCATTGTCAGGAGAAATGGGATGTGAGGGAGGCTATGCTAGTCATGGAGCAGGGCTGGAGTAGACCACACCATCCCCAACTCACCCTGGAGGGTTCATCCCCCAAGGCATCCACAGTATTTAGGTCGTTGGCACTGGATGAGGACAGGGTTGGCTGTTTTCAGAAGCTCCTTGCAGTTTCTTGTGAGGTTCAGCTTCTTCCCTTCGTCAGGATTTTCCTGTCCCTGGGACACCAATGGAGAAGTGATCCTGGGAGCAGAGCCGGGAGGAGCTCTGTGCACTCCACATTCCTGTGCAGCTCTGCTCTGGTGGCACCAGTGGAAATGTTAGCAAAGAACTCGAGAAAATCCCCAGAGTTCTGTTTGCCTGGCTTTGCAAAAACATTTCTGCTTATCAAGCAACCCAAAGAAATGTGAAGATTTTCACTCACTCTTCGTGTGGGCTCTGCTTTGAATTTTAAAAAGAGATTTGCCAATGCAATCTTGCAAAATACTCTAGTGCCAAGTCCAGCTCTCCTAAAATACAAGTTTTAGGAGGAGGTGAGCTTTCATTCTCCTGGGAAAACATGCATTTCTGACAGATTTGAGGGAGAACTGAGGCTTCTGTGAGGCCATGCCACTCCCTGGAGAAATGCCCTTTCATGTTGATCAGCAGGGACCAAATCCTGTGGTTTGTGGCACCAAAGGCAGAGCTGCTTGTGAGCCTCGAGGCTTTGAACGATGGAGATGTGAAGCTACAAGAGCCCTCAGGCTGAGGGATTTAAATATTTTTCCTCTGTTTGAGCCTGCCCAGAGGCTGTGCCATGGGTAAAGGTGCTGCCTTAGGGGTTAGGTGTAACCAGGAGATCATACCTGTGTCCCAGCCCTGTGCTTTTGGGAAGGCTCTGCCCTGAGGGCAAGAACCAGCCCTGAGTCCTGCACCTCCTGGAAAAGGGTTCAGCCTCATTTGGTCACCTCTGTAAAACAAGGGCTGGGAATTTCAAACCCCCATGTGCTTCCCAAAAGCTTTGCCAGTGCATTCTGCAGGGCAGGAATCACCTCCAAACCCTTTGTTGGTGGATCCGTGGTGCAGGCAGAGGCTGCTCAGCACGTGTGGGATGAGGAGAAAGCAGAGCAGAGCAGCTGCTCCAGTAGGGCACAGCAGGCTGCTCTTCCTGAGCTTTCCATGGAGGGGGAAGCCTCGAGGGGGACACACAAGTGCCTGATGCATGCTCCCATGCTGCTTTGGCTGCTAGAAGCGCAGCTTCAGCACATGTAGAACCTGACCCAGCCATTCCCTCTGGAAGCAGGAGCGCTGTCTCTGGCTCCCTCAAGGTTGGGTCCTGGTGGGGAGATGACAAAAGCTCCTGCAGGCTGCTGGGCTCATCCCAGGAGCGCCAAACCGCAGCTCACAGCCTGGCCCAGCTCCGTGGCAGGAATCTCTGTCCCTCATGCCTGGCAGAGAGCTTCTGGGCCACTCCTGTCACCATGAGCACGTCGGTGGCCACTGCTCCTGCTCTGCCAGCCCCGCTGGGGACGTGAGGCTGGGTCTGTCCGTGTCAGAGGGAGAATTGTGATGGCAGAGCACGGAGACAGCGGCTCCATCCTGCTGGGAGCACGGGGATGGGGGTGCTGCTCTCCCCTGAGCTGTCACGGCATGCCTCAGCCGGGGATTGCTCCTGAGAAACACTGAGGGGCTGCAGTGGCCCTCCCTGGGCTGAAATTTGATAATTAAGCAAATACAGCGTGGCTTTGTGTTGGGAGAGCACCATAAGGTAAACAGGAAGGAATGAGGGATTAAGACGTCTCTGCTCCGAGGGAAGGTGACGAGGCCGGAGCTGTGACACCTCCGTGCCGGGGCGAGGGGCCCAGCTGCGGGCTGGCATGGCACAGCTGCATTGTTCAGGGGTGAAGAGCAAATAAAAGCTGCGGGAAAAGAAAACAAGCTATAAAATTCTCAGCAAAGCACAGAGCCCCGGCAACTGCGTCCTGATGGCCCCGTGACAGCTCCGGGGAGAGGCGGGCGAGGGGTCGAGCGTTTGAAGTCCTGAAGTTGTCCTTTGCAAAGGCCCCCTGCTAAAACAGGCCCAGTGTTGACTTTAGGCTGCATATGGTGGAGGAATTGGACAGCTCAGTCACAGCAATCAAAGCAGGGGGGCACCTTTCGGAACTCAGCTAACTGGGTGTCATCCCAGCTGGGATGGGGGATGCAGGGGCAGAAATGAGGATTATCAGCATGGTCAGGGCTGCAGGTGAGTGACAGAGCCTGTGCTGTGGAAAGCTGAGGGAGAAAGCAGCTAGGAAGGTCTTGGAATGGTATCCAGAGTTCAAAGATGTGTGTGTGTGTCAAAGATGGTGAGAGTGGGAAACTGGGAAGGTTGGGCAGGTGATGATGGAAATTCCTTCCCACAGGGACTGAGGGGGCTCCTGAGGTGCTGGGAAATGGGGGTCCCTCAGTTTTTTGGGGACCTTTGCACTGAGCAGTAACAACACAAAGTGAGAGTGGATGAGAAGGGAAATGAGCGGCGCTTCCATGGGGAAAGTGCTTGTGACAAAGCTGAAGGTGCCACAGGGGTTTGTGTGTCCTGACCATGGATGGTCCCCCAACCTCACAGTCCCCTGTAACACCCACAGCCAGCAGGGAGAGGCAAAGCCGTAGTTAATGCAAGTCAGGACAGTGAAACCTGGCCTTGGCAGCCTCATTTTGCCATCCAAAGAGCTGGGAAGGCAATGGCCCACAGCGATGGGCTCACAGGTCAGGATGTGGGTGAGCAGCTGGCTTCCCACAGCCAGGGTGCCACCAGGTCCTCCCACCCGTGACAGGGCACACACAGAGGGGTTGGCAGCAGCTCCCTGGGGTTGGCACCTCCCTGCTGGGGCACAGATGGTGACAATGTCCCCTCTCTGCCTCTCCCAGCCTGCAACTGCAACCTGCACGCGCGGCGCTGCCGCTTCAACATGGAGCTGTTCAAGCTGTCGGGGCGCAAGAGCGGCGGCGTGTGCCTCAACTGCCGGCACAACACGGCAGGCAGGCACTGCCACTACTGCAAGGAGGGCTTCTACCGCGACCTCAGCAAGCCCATCTCCCACCGCAAGGCCTGCAAAGGTATGGGATCACAGGTGGGATGGTGGGAATGCCCTGCTCCTCCTTCCCCAGCCCTTCCTGCGGCCCCGCTCCCACAGCTCTGCCCATCTCCCACCGTAAGGCCTGCAAAGGTACAGGGTCACAGGTGGGGTAGGGGGAATACCCTGTTCCTCCTTCTCCAGCCCCTCTTGCAGCCCCGCTCCCACAGCTCTCCCAGCTCCTCCTGCTCCCCCCTCTCCCAAACCCGGTTGAAATTGCTTTTTTTGCCATTTGGAATGGCTTCCCATGCCCCCACGTTCCCTGCTGTCACCTCTGCAGCCTCCTGGTGAGGACAAGGCCACCCACGTCCCCTGCCATCACCTCTCCCTGCTCTCTCCATCCTCCTGCTGAGGATGAGCCCATGGAAATAGAGGCCCTTACTGCTGAGGAGGACTTTGGATTATTTCAGAGTTTATCACTTAGAAATGGTGCTTCATCTGCTCCTACCTGGTCATCACCCTGCAAGGGCAGAGGGGCACAGAACCCCAGGTATGGGTGAGATGTAGAATTTAAATCAGCCTCCCCCAAGCTCCGTCTCCAGCTCCCACCCTTCAGGCAGAGCTGAGCCCACGCACAGAACTTGTCACTCCTCTGGACGAGGAGAGAACAGAAAAAGGAGAAACGAGTTTATTTTGAGCTCGGAGTATTTTGAGGTTTCCTCATGTGGCCATGGAGGCGAGCTGGGATTCAGCTGGGGCGGGAGCAGCAAGAAGAGCAAATCCTGCAAATGAACCCTTTTTACTCTCAGCTGCTGCTGGAGGAGATGGAAATCCTGAACCTGAGGTGCAGTGAAAGGAATCAAGCAAACATTCAAACGCCAGATTAGAAAATGCTGGGGTTTCCCACAGGAATGCTCAGCTCTTTTCTCTTTAAAGACTCATTTCAACAAGAAATGGAAAGTTTTATGGCTTCAGCATCCCTTTGAAAACTCCTTTTCCCGAGCTCTGTTTTTCACACAGAGGGGTTTAGGTTCCCTCTGCTTTTCCCTCCTGACTTGGGGCTTGTGCAGAGATCATTGTTGCAAATGAGCAGGTTTAAACCCAACCCTGCCATTTAACAGCTCCAGCCACCTCTCCACTGATAACAACATTCATTTACCATCTCCTCAAACCAGCACTCCCAGAGCCTCATCTCCACTGCATGTGGTTAAATTTAAGGAATTAATTATCCTGAGCTCCTGCCACCTCCTTCACCACTGCCTGCACCCAGCAGAAACAGATTTTCTCTATATTTTCCTCTATAAAACCTGATTCTTTAATCCATCACATCACTCTGATCATGTCCCACACATAATAAATTTAAATATAAGCATCTCAGAGAGCCCTGGTGCCTTGGGAGCTGCTGAGGAGCTTGTGGCTCTCACCCACCCCAGCAAGGTCTCGGTGATCTCACAGCAAAGGCTCCATGAAAGAGCTGCCAGAGACATTTTTTCATTAATTCAACCCCATTTATTCAGTCTAAGTGACACATCCAGCTAAGCTGCTTCTCCTGTGCCTTGCATTCCTCATCTCCCACTCCATCCCATGCACGAGGTGCCTCCACTCACAACACATCTAACATCAGCAAATTAGAGAGGCTGCAGTTGCATTGTTTGAAATGGTTGGTTTGAGTAATTATGCAAAATATGACATTGCATAAATGCTTGCACAATGTCTCCTTCTTTTTAACTCAGAGAAAAGGAGAATTCCACAAACTTTTGCACGTGTTGCAGGGCAGGGGTGAGGCTCAGACAACAAAAGGTGAGCAGAAATCAGAGCTGGGCAACAGCCCCTGCTCAGGGCTGCTTGTGTTTCCAACAGCCAAATCTTTTATAATTGATAAATAAAAGACTATTCTAATGGTCTGAAGTTGAGATGAGCAGTGCAGGTGAAGGCACAAGGAGCTGAGTGTAAAGATGCTTTTCCCTGATGGCTAACAGGGATCCAGCCATGCCAGGTGCTTTGCTCTGTTTGCTTCCAGTGGTTTTCCTTCCATAAATGATAAAAGCCTGGGAGTTGTCAGTGGCCACAGATGCCCTGGGACAGAGCCACGCCAGGCAGGCCGTGGCAAGGAGGCTGCAAACCACAGGAAAAGGAATTGATGACAGATGGAGCAGGGATATTGCACGGAGCAGCAATGCTGGGTGTGTGCCAGAGCCTGCCAGGCTGGAGCTGGGCATGGAGCTGGGCATGGAGGATGTGGCTGCTCTGGGTGAGTGGTCAGACACCCCTGGGACACCAAGCCAGGGTTCCCCTGGCATTCTGGGGTCACACTGCAGCTGATCCCAACCCTGGACCCTGGGCTGGAGGAGCCCGATGGTGCCACTGCTCCTCCTCCAGAGGGTGGGGTGGGCTCATCCTGGCAGGAGGGGAGCAGGATGCCCTTTGTCCTGGCACACACATCCCACCCTGTCCTGGCCACACCCCTGGTGTGGGGCTGGCCTGAGAAGCAACAAAACTCGGGGTGTAAGAAATTTCCATGTTCATTTTTCAGACTCGGACAAGGATGAATTGTTCCTCTTTTCTCCCTGGTTTTTGAGAAATCACCAAGAGCTCCCAGCACACTGAAACCCTGCTTCCAGCTCCTTCTGCTTTCCCTCTGCTCCAAATGATGTTGCAAGTGAAATTCCACATCTGGGTCCTGCAAACCTTGTCCACCCCGCTCTGTCATGGGCCGCTGTAAATCAGGGCCCTGCTGTTGGTTCTTTTGATTAAACTCCCTCCTGATATTTGCCAGATTATTGGCACTAATGTAATTCCATTGGAGTGGAGAGTCTGCAGGGTTTTATAGCCTGGCTGTAAAACAGCTCTGCGCTTTGGGGAGAGGCTTTGCACACTTTTTGATGAAAAGATGACAAACGAGACGTGCTCTGAATGCACTTGTGCTGAGGCTGCCAGCACAAACCCCTCATGCAGGGGCAGGATTTGGCACCTGGAGAGGTCACATCCATCAGGGCTCAGTCTTTCGGGAGGAAATGGGATTGTCTGTGTGCCTGGTGCTGCTGTAGCCTGGGGAGCTTTCCAGCTGTGCTGCAGGGTTTCATGCCTTGTGCAAAGCTCAAAAAGCACTCCCAGCCTCCCTGCCTGTCCTGGCCTGCACCCACCAAGGGTCAAGAGTTGACATTTCCATTTGGAGGCAGTTTGGGCTGGAGCAGAGGGAGATGAGAGCTGTCCCCACGGGCTCAGCCTCCTGTCCTTGATGTCATGGGTGCACATAAAGGCTTTTTCCCCACCCAGTCACGGGCATTGAGTGAGGCAGGACCCGAAGCCCTTTGGCTTTGGGAGAGCCGAGCAGAGCCCCCGGTGACAGGGACAGTGGCACAAGTCCCCGTCTCTCTCCAGTGACTATAGAGGGAGCTGCGTGACCAGCTTAGAGCTGACAGCTCATTCCCTGGAGGCTGGGCCAGGGGAGATGGATCCTCTCTGTTCCTGCTGCTGGGTCCTGCTGGGAGCCTGGGGCACAGGATGCGCCAGGGCCAGCACCCACGGCAGATATCAGGGTCTGAGAAGGGTGGCACTGCCACCAGAGCACGGTCTGAGAATGATGGCAGTGCCACCAAAGGTGTCCCACTGCTGGTGTCCTGGTGTAGCACAGGGACACCAGTCTGTCCATGGTTCTAGCTGTGGTCAGCATCTCTCCAGCCTTGGAGATGTCCCCTGCCACCATAGTCCCCAATTCACACCTGGGTGGGGCAGACAAGCTCACAGCTGAAGGGTGCCAGAGACACTGGGATGGCCTGGCTGGATCCCTGCACCAGGGCTCCAGGGCTCCAGGGCCAGCAGGGCCAGCAAGGCCAGCAGGGCCAGCAGTGGTGGCTCCTGCAGGGCTCTGTCCCCAGCCTGAGGGAGATGTTCCCCTCTCCAGAGCTGCCTCATTTTGATGCCCATCTCTCTTCCAGCTCAGTTGTGGTTTTAAGGTGAACTCCAAGGCAATACTTTCCAGGAATTCAGCCCTGGGAGTTGTCCTTAATGGTCAAACCTGCTTTCCTTCCTTTCCTCCTTTTGCTCCTGCAGGATTCCAGCTGGAGCTGCTGTTGAGGAGAGAGGAGCCAGCCCGTGGTGCTGGCAGGGCTTGGGCTGGGCTCCTGTGTCAGGGCTTGGTCACCTCTGAGGAATCACATCCCTGGAGAAATTCCAAACTTTCCAGGCATTGATCTGCCAAGCACAGACTTCAATTTCTCCCCAGGACTGTGGAGATTCTCTTCCACTGCCACAAGAACGATTTTCTAGTTGTATTTCCATCCTGCATTTGTCAGTGGCTGTGCCTGAGTCACCCTTCCCCACAGTCCCATAATTCCTGATATTGATATTATTGCAAGCCCTGAGAGCTGATTTATGGCTCCTGCATCTAAAACTTGTCACCACAGCCCCAGACACGCACAGACCATCAGAGAAGGTTCGGGAAATGCAGCTTTGAGCTGTCCATGCTCACAGGTCACTGTGGGAGTGTCCTGGGGAAGCAGGGGAGGCTCGAGTGCCACACCAAGTGTCACCTCTTCCATGGCATTGCCATGACCCAGGGCAGAGCTGCACCGTTCATCCCCCTGGGCTGGAAGGATCCCAGAGAAAAGAAGGGACACCAGCAGTACTGAAACTCTTACACTGTTCTGAGTTTGTAGAATGAAACCATGGAAAAGCAGTGATTTTTTGTTCAAGTAAGACTCAAGCTCAACACAAGGCATCTCCCAGCCCATGCCAGCTTTTATAAATCCATTAAAGTGCACATTTTAACGATGGATGAGCAGACACATCAGTTTAGGCAGCTGCGTCTCTGTGAGGCAGAGTGGGCAGAGTTTGCTGAGCTGTGGAATTCAGGGCAGGACACTGCTGGATCCATGAGGAGATGGAGCAGGCTGCTCAGAAGGATCCGGAATCTCCATTGCCACCTGGAAACCACCTCAGTACCTCCAGAGGAGAGACACAGCTCACAGCTGAGTCCCAAATCCATGGCAGACATGTGGAGGGCCCAGCTCAAGAGGAAAATGTAGACAGCGTTGATTCCCG